AATAGTTTTTTCCTTTTGTTTTTCTGATTGGTTGATTTTTTCTACCCTGTCTTCTAATTCACTGATCCGGTCCTCAGCTTCCCCTACTCTGCTTTTTAAACCTTCCAATGTGTTTTTCATTTCGGATATGTCATTTTTTATCACTTCTTGTTGGTTTTTATTTTCCATTTGGCTTATTTTCAGTGTCTCTATGTCCTTACTCATGCTGTTCAGCTTCCTCAAGATCATGGCTCTGAATTCTAGCTCTGTTAACATGCCTAATTGCTCCACATTGATCTCATCTTCGGTGGAGGTGTCTTGCTCTTTCATTTGGCTTCTGTTTCTGTGTTTCACCATTTTAGCTATCACTGTGGGCTTTGGAGCCTGTCAAGTTCTCCCTGTGGGTGTTGGTGTTCTGCTGTTTGTGGCTCCCTCTCCTGTGTTTAGATGAGCGAGGGAGGACCCGCGTTGAACACCACTGTCAAGTCTTACTTTCCTGGTTAAAGTTGCCAGCCCAGGAAATGTACTGTTATCCTCTAGCTTTTTGCCTGGAGGCTAGCAGTCTAGGTTAATTGATGAGTTTTGGGTTGTCAGTTGATTGAAAAACTCCCTCTGGTGCTCAGCCAAGGGGCTTTCACGAGGGTGGGGCAGATGCTGGTTGTTAGTGAGCCTCAATTAGCACTTCAATGGCCCACAGGGTGGGGTTGGATCTCCGCGGGAGGGGCTGCTGCCTCTCTCAGAGCCCTGGGAAGGAGCAATGTGACCACCGTCCTGGGTGGCTGCACTCAGCCAAAGCTGTGAGCGCCTCCAAACCCCGAGTGTCCCGACACAGCTCCAGTCCAGTCCGCCCTCCCTCCGCCGGAGCCCAAGGTGAGTGGCTGTGGCTGTTTCAGCCTCTGTCCAGGCTGCGCTGTGGGGCCGCCTGGGAGTGTAACCCGCGGGCGCCGCTTATATCTAAGGCCGCTGCCGAGCTGCCGACCGTGGGCTCCCAGCCCCGTCTCGCGTCTTCGCAAGCCTACCGGGATGGAGTCAGTGTCCCTCGTTGTATGGTCCTCGCAAGCTGCTTTTCTGTTGGTTTTTCCCGTCGATTTGTCTGTGTTATAGTTGTAATTCCAGTTTGGTTCTGGGAGACGGTCTGTGTAGCTTTGTTCACTCCGCCGCCATTTTTCCTTCCTGGGAAAGTTTTTATATGTCCATTGATTCTAAATGACAGCTTTGCAGGATAGAGTAATTTTGGTTGTAGGGTCTTGGTTTTCATCACTCTGAATATTTCTTGCCACTCCCTTCTGGCCTGCAAAGTTTCTTTTGAGAAATCAGCTGACAGCCTAATGGGAACTCACTTGTAGGTAACTAACTGCCTTTCTCTTGCTGCTTTTAAGATTCCCTTTTTGTCTTGAACCTTTTGCATTTTGATGATGATGTGTCTTGGTGTGGGCCTCTTGGGGTTCATCTTGTTTGGGACTCTCTGTGCTTCCTGGACTTGTAGGTCTGTTTCCTTCATCAAGTCAGGAAAGTTTTCTGCCATCATTGTTTCAAACAGGTTTTCAATTTCTTGTTCTCACTCTTCTTCTTCTGGCGCCTCCAAGATGCAAATGTTGGCACGCTTGAAGTTGTCCCAGAGGCTCCTTACACTATCCTCGTTTTTTTGGATTCTTTTTTCTTTTTGCTGTTCTGATTGGGCATTTTTTGCTTCCTTATATTCCAAATCGATGGTTTGCTCGTTGGATTTACGTACTCTATTATTGAAGCTGTGTAAATTATTCTTCATTTCAGTTAATGCCTCCTTCAATTCTAACTGTGTATCCATGATTTCTAACTGGTCCTTTTTTTATGTTCTTGAGGCCCTCCCTAAGTTCACTGACGTTCTTACTAAGTTCATTGAGCATCCTTATAAGCAGTATTTTGAACTCAGTATCTGTTAGGTTGCTTATCTCCATTTCGCTTAGTTCTTTTATTGGGGTTTTGTTCTGTTCTTTCCTTTGGGACCTGTTTCTTTGTCTCCTCATTTTGGCTGCCTCCCTGTGTTTGTTTCAGTGTATTACTTAATGAGAGGTATGGGGCTCGCTGAGACCCGATGCTGCTCGTTTGAAAGAATTTAGGAAAAACCTGAAGCAGGATCCAAGACAGGCCAATGCTATGGTTACGCAAGCGGCAACAGCTTGGGTTGGCTTGAAAGTTGGGTGGGGCGGGGCAGGGCCTCAGGGAATCACCAGGGCGGGGCTACCAGTGTGAGCCAGGTTGCTGGAGTCCCAGATATGGCTACTGTCTGCTGCCCCCGGGGAAGGGCTCATCAAAGGAACAAAGGCCTCTTACAGCACGTTTGTCCCTGAGAAAGACCCCTCTCCAGCCCTCGCTCCAGTGCCAAACAGCTCAGTTCTTCCCTGTATGTCTCTGGCGCCAGTGGAGCTGCCTCCCCTCCAAGCTTAGAGGGAGAGAGTCCGATAAGTCCGTGCGCGGGCCCTTTAAGGAGCTGCCTGTGGCTCCAGCCACGTCAGCTTCCCTGAGCCTCAGTTTCCGCTGGTTTTTCCAGCCAGATGTTATGGGGACTTCTCTTCCTGGCACTGGAACCCTGAACGGGGCGCCTGGTGTGGGACGGGGACCCATCAGTCCTCAGGAAGGACCTTCCCAGCCGCGGGAGCCTCCTGATTTTTATCCGCCACACTTGGGTGTGGGAGCAGCCGGTAGCGCTGCTGCCGCTTTCCTGCCCCTCGCGCCGCCGCCCCTCCTACCAGTCTGGATGTGGCTGCTGCTTTAATTTCGTAGTTGTAGGACTTCCATTCAGCTTGATTTCAGGCGGTTTTGAATGATGGTTGTTCTGTAGTTTAGTTGTAACTTTGATGTGGTTGTGGGAGGACACGATAACGCGTTTACCTACGCCGCCATCTTGACCGGAAGTCCATTTCTGATTTTTTCAATTTTGGTCTTCTCTCTTTGTTTCTTGGTGAGTCTGGCTTAAAGGCCTCAGCTTTTATAGCTCAGTGCTCAGAGTCATGGAACTCCACTCTGAGAGCCAGTTCCATAACTCATAGCTTTGAGAGGCTCTTGTCTGCCTACTGGCTGGAAGGTAGTCCCTGGCTGTTAATGAGCCTCAGGTTGCTCCTCTCTGGGAAGGGTGGAGTTAAATTATCAAGGCAGGGGCAGTTGCTTCTTCCCCAGGCCAAAGCTCCCATGATGTGAACGGGCTTCTTGTGGAAGATGGCTACTGCCATGTGGGAGAAAGGCTCAGCATAGAGTTCCTGCTGGCATCCTTCCCAGCTCTCTCCCCAGCGTCACAACTCCTGACCCTCCTCATGCCCCTCCCTCTGCTGGAGCCCAAGATGAGTGGCTGTATCTGTAATTTAGTGCACTGGCCCTTCAGGGAAGTGTTAGTGTTCCCAGTGCCTCTCCCTGCTGGACAGAACTTCTGCTCTGGTGATTTGTTATGTGGGTGCCTTTCTCTGTTCCACCACTCTGTGCTGGGGAGCCAGCTTAGGTTTAAACCCCCAACTTCTCAGAGGGAACTTCTAACAGCTAAGATAGTCCTCAGCTTCTGCCTGTGGGAAACTAGCCAGCCCTCTCATGGCTCTGCACCTCCCACCAATCTCTATTTGAAGTCCTCATTTTATCCCTGGTTATAAGGGTTCTCTCCAGCTGCTCTTCAGTTATTTTTTCCAGATGACGTCTTTATTTTAGTTGTAATTCCAGTTTGGTCCTGGGAGACGATCTGTGTAGCTTCCATTCACTCTGCTGCCATTTTCCCTCTCCCTAAAATTATTTCTTTTTTTTTTTTTTATCCTCACCAAAGGACATTTCTTTTTTCATTCAGATAGAGTGGGAGGGAGGGAGAGGAAGAGAGGGAGAGGGTGGGGGAGAGAGAGAGAGAGAGAGACATCGACGTGAAAGGGACACATTGAGTGGCTGCCACCGTATGACCAACCAGGGCCAGGGACAAGCTGCAACCAAGGTACACGCCCTTAGCAGGAACCAAACCCGGGTTTCTCTGGACCGCAGGCCGACACTCTAACCACTGGGCCAAACCAGCCAGGGCATATTTCTTAATGTATATATACACACATAACATTTCCATCAATGAATGACTACAGATATGTTCCAATAGAACTTTATTTATAAAAGTAGGCAAATGCCTGGATTTAGGCTGCATGTTATAGGTTTACAACCCTTGGTCTGAAGGATGGATTAGATTTAAGTTAGAGTGATTTGTCAATAATTCTTTATGTACCACACATAGAGGATGTTGTAACTTCATGTCTTACCAGGAAATACATTGGTTACCCACTACTGACAATTTTAAGCTGATCATTAAGTTCAGATGGTGACTGTCATATCTCCTTGTGTAAATGTGCACTTTGTCCCTTGTAGTTAATCAGTAATCTGTGAGGTGATTTTTGGCACTGTGGGACTAGATTGATCTCCAATAGGCTTTCACATTATGTTTTAGCGTCCATTTACTTGATATTGAAAAATTATAATTTTGTAATTTTACCTTGACTTTTACAATTACTGGCTGATATTTTTAGGTATCAGTGTGGACTCATAATGTTTTTAATATTATAACCATTTACAGTAATTTTCCATGATGTTCAAATTATACAAATGTTCTCTGTGGAAATCCACAGGGAATTTCTTTCAGGAGTAATTGCTGTGGAATTAGATCTTGCCTTTATCACATGCTGAGGATGGAGTAATATGTATAAATATAACTTACACAATGTATTGTAGGAATATACACATTTTCCATAGCTCAATTTGTAAAATGTAAGGATGTAGAGACTCTATTGATTTTACGCTAACTGTTTTTTTTTACATATATGCTTTGTGAAATTGGGAACTGCATCTGTCTTGATCTGTTTGCCCATGTGAGTAAGAAAAATAATTTTGAATGAAAAATTAGTATGTCTATACAAATGAAGAGTGAAGAAGTCAAGACATGTAAGTAGGGAGACCAAATCCAGGTATTTTACTCAATATTAGTTTTCTCTTATGTTGTTATAAAAAAGACCTTTGAAGACAGTTTTCCTTGTTATATATATTTAATTTGAGAAACAGCCTTAGAGAAAAACAGGTTGAAGTGGAGGGCTTACCCCCAAACAACTGAGGAATTGGATCATAACTCATGAACTGTGCTGGGAGTGAGCTGAGAATGTGTATGGACCAGAAGATCCCAGTTCTCCAACAACTAAATGCCAAACATTTTCTGCATACTTTCTCCCACAATGGTGCCATGAAGAGTTACTTGTAACAGACAAAAAAATGTATTTTATATACTCTTTGCCCAAAGGATGACAGTTCAGTGTTTTCCTCATTTTCCAGGAGACAGGATTATCTGATTTAGTTGTTAATTTAATTCTCCTGAGAAAGAAGGGGTAAACATGATATTGTGTTAAAAGTGCAATACTTGTAGTCTAAAAACAATAAAAAACTGTCAAAATAAGTAAAAAAAAAGAACCTAAAGAAATGAAAAATATATTGCATGTTAATAGATCAGAAGACTTAATATAGTTAAAATGGCAGTACCTCCACTCTGATCTACAGATTCAACACAATTCCATCAATATCTCAGTTAAAATTTTCTCAGAAATTAACAAGCACATCTTAAATCTCATATGAGACTTCAAAGGATCAAGAATAGCTGAAAAAAATCTTGAAAATGAAGAACAAATTTATAGAGTCAATCTCCCAAATTCAAACCTGCTACAAACCATAATAATCAAGATAGATGATGGAAAAGAGTTAAGTGTTCAAACATAAAACAAGATATTTATAGTGAATTAATTTTGATAATATGTCAGAAAAATTTATTGATGGAAAGAAAAATCTTTTCAATAAATTATGACGTGACAACTGGATATCCACATGTAAAAGAATGTGCATCTCATACTATAGTAAAAACTTCAAACCATTAAAAATAATTCCAAGTAAATCATATACTTAAATGTATTAACTAAAACTATAAATGTTTTTTTATTAATTAATTTTTGTTACAGATGTTTCTCCTTCCCCACCCCCACTGATTCCCCCCTCCCTCTCCCTCCCTGCCCTGTCTCCAGCTTTGTTGTCCATGTCCATTGTTCATGCATACATGCATATAAGTTCTGTGGTTTATCTCTCCCGCACCACCCCCTCTTCTGGGGATTGTCAGTCTGTACCCCACTTCCACGTCTCTGGGACTACCCCATTCCTCAGACTGTTATGCTAAAACTATAAATGTTTTGAAAGAAAACACATATATATCTTATGGGTGTTAGGCAATTCTTTTAAAAATATGATGCCCAAAGCACAAATAAACAAAAAAATAGATAAAATGGACTTTGCCAAAATTAAAAAACATTTGTGCATCAATGGACACTATCAAGAGCGAAAAATCAATGAACAAATGGAAGAAAAAATTGAAAGTCATATGTCTGACAAGGGACTTGTGTTTAGAACATATGTAGAATTTTTACACCTTATCAAAAAAAGATTAAAGGCTAAAATAAAATGGCAAAAGGATTTGAGTAGGTATTGCCCCCAAAAAGATATGCAAAAGCTCAACATTATTAAACATAGGAAAACACAAATCAAAAGCCTAATGAGAAAGCACTTTACACCCAGTAAGGTATATAAACCTAAATTACAACAAGTTTTGGTGAGGATGTGGGGAAAATTGAAACCCTTATATACTTTGGTCTTGTTTCTAATGGAATTTTGGATTTTTATGCAAGGTGGTAGAATATAAAATTTTTGTTTTGAGACTCTGAATTTTATGTGTGCAACTGTTGGAAGAGAGAGAAGAGTAGATGGGAGAGACCAGTTAGGAGGATATTGCAATACAGCCAAGGAAAGATGACAACTGGATTTAGGGAGGAGGTGATAGAGACAGTGTAAACAAGACAGATTTATGACTATTGAGGAGGAAATATAGCATGATTTAGCAATGGATTGATTTGGTGTACAACAGGGTATAAAAGAGGTGTTAAAGATTTTCAAGGTCCTCATTGGGGCAATGAGAGGAATGGAGATGCCTCTCAAAGAGATGAAACATCCAAAGAGGATTATAAAATCTTTTATGGCTATGTTGAGCTGCTTCTGGGATATGTAAGTAGAGGTGTCAAGTAGGCAATTGGAAATAGTCGTCTGAGGCTCATAAGTAATTCAGGGCTAGAAAAAACATTTGGCCATAATTTCCTTCTGCCTGGCTCACTGAGTTCATGTAGACAAGATTGTTTATGAGGAGGATATAATGTGATAATGGAAGTGTTTCTAGAACAAAACTAGGTAGAGTAAATGAAATCTAAAGAAGATTAATAAAGCTCAGACAAAAAGATAGGAAGAATGCCAGGGATGTTGAAATGTAGGAGCCAGAAACAAAAGAAAAGTTTCATGATGGAGACAGTAACCACAACACCCAAGAGTACTAAGAGGACCAAAAAATATTTCATTCAGTAATATGAAGGTCATTGAAGGCTTAAGAGAGAGCTGTTTTAGCCCAAGTGCCCATGAATAGATGAGTGGATAAAAAAGCTGTGGTACATATACACAATGGAATACTATGCATCTGTAAAAAAGAAAGACTTCTTATCCTTTGAAATGGCATGGAGGGACCTGGAGAGTATTATGCTAAGTGAAATAAGCCAATCAGAGAAAGACAAATATCACATGATCTCACTTATTTGTGGAGTATAATAACAAAATAGACCCAGAGACATAGAAGTAGGGTACAGAATTACAAACCTCAGAAGAGGGTGTGGGGGGAGGGGGGAGGAAAGAGAGAAATCACAGAACTTATAAGCATGTATGGGTAACCAATGGACACAGACAACAAAGCTGGGGATGGGGTGGGGTGGGGGGATTGGGAAGAGGGTGTCAATGAGGGAATGCTGATACATCTGTGACAAAAATAAATTAATAAAATAAAAAATAAAAAACAAAGAAAATTTTACACTACACAAAAAAGAGAGAGCTGTTTTGGTGAAATTATGAAGGCAAATACCAGTTTTGAGTGTGTGAGGATGGGGAGGGAGGGATCAAATGTATAACTTTAATAATTTTTAGTAAGACAAAGATTTACTATGAAGGTTGAAAGGATGCTGTTGAGAAGGTGCAACTGTGCAAGTTTCAGAGAAAGAATGTATAAGCAGTAATGTAAAGTTATAGAGAAGTCAGGAGTGTTTGGATTAGCCTTAAAAAAGTTGGAACTACATTTTATTTATGGCAATAAGATGGAATGAGAGAATGAACCAGATGTAAAATGCCTAGTATTTTTGAGAACACAAAGTTAATCTCATTTTATCCTGCTTACTTGATTTGCTGTAGAAAAGACTGGTAGAGACATCTGCTGGAAAGGACAGAGAGTAATTAGATTTTTGAAAAGTGAAAAATTTAGAAGGATTAGTTGCAGAGGGTTAGAGAAACAAGTGGATCAGAAAAATGCATAAGGCTTGGCAGGCAGGGCTGTAGGTCCATGAAAGTTGGGAGAAAAAGTGAATTGTCTGAAAACCTTGCACAGTTCACAAGTGAGCCTCATTTTCTTTACCTACCAAATGGGAACATAATAATACTTACCTCCAAGTGCTGATGTAAAAAACGTGTGAACAAAAAGCATAAGACAAGGTTTTGTAAAACAGAACATACAATTGTTCATTGCCATTGCCAGGATCTCTCCTCAGCCCTCTATGATTCTCCTTCCTGGTTTTGCATTATTTGTACGGGTTGAAAATATGAGGAATAATTGCAGACTCTTAAGGAAAGTCTCAAATCCAACTGTTATGACTATATATACCATAAATTTATATCTCTCACTAAATGTTATAATTATATATACCACATATTATTGTTCTTTACATAGAGGGTAGCATGGAATGACTTGGGATAAAGGACAGTGCTGTGACCATGCAGTTTGAGAATCACAGCTTTAGATAATTAGATCCTGCTTGTTGAGCTGACCATAGCTTCTCTCTCTCCTTATGAAGACATGTTTTGTATCTTCTCACTAAGTAAAATTAAATACCATATGTACCATGTCTCACAAAATGGGTGCTCTACACATGTGGGGAATGAGAAGATAATCAGGGGCAAGAGGCAGGGTGAGTACATCAACAAAGTGAGTGAAAGTACAGAAAGACCTCCATTTTTGACGTGGAAATGCCTTGGGGTGAGTGCACAAGTAAACCCAGTGTGAGTCATCTTAAGGCAGTGGTTCTCAACCTTCCTAATGCCGTGGTCCTTTAATACAGTTCCTCATGTTGTGGTGACCCCCCAACCATAAAATTATTTTTGTTGCTACTTTATAACTGTAATTTTGCTACTGTTATGTCTTAGGAACCCCCAAAGGGGTCGTGACCCACAGGTTGAGAACCACTGTCTTAGGGCATCACCTCCTATATGCCAGGTTGTCCAGTGTGATGGGCATGAGCTACTCAAGTCGATCAGCTAGTGAAGGGCTCTGGGAGCAATATATGATCTTACCACATTCTGTGTGCAGACTTCAGACATGGCCTTGCTGGAGAATGTGTACCCCTCAGAGTAAGTATCAGTTTTCTTGAACCCTTTCAACCATTTCCAATATTGCTCCCGGACCTGCAGAGACAAAGTATGCTCTGAGTTAGCTCACTGAGAGAAGTGAGATGGAAAGAGTACTGGGTTGGAGTTGGACAGTAATACCTGCTGGCTGAGGAGACAGTATACCAGGAAGATGAAGACACCCTGCAGGCTGTTGATGATGGTGAAGAGATAGGCCATGGCCTGGGCAGCTGGACCCACCTGCAGGATTCCCAGACACCACGTGCAGCCCAAGATAAAGAGCTGAGCTATTGCTTTAAATGTCAGCATCCTGGGTAGAAAAAGAAGAGAGACCCAGAGCAACAGAATTAAGGTAATTTCTCATTTCCACTCCATAGATGCATATGACTGAGTTGTGATCAACTTTGATATATACTCCTAATGATCCTCTAAACATAAATGTTACTGTGGGATAGCCATGGGCAGGACCAGAGGGAGGGTGAGTACGTGAGAGAGTGAACTAGTGTGTGAGTGGATGTGGAGGACGACCAAACTCATGGAGTGCAGAGATGCAGAGCAGAAGGTTTCTGTGCTGTGGACAGGAAGCAGTGAGCTACCATGGTAAGCAGCTCTTCAGGGAACTTCTCCCTGTGCCACAAAGAGGTCCCACCATTTTGGAAGATCCTGGGTCTTCCCTGGGAGGAGGCAGTGGGAGCGGCTAGGGCCCAGCAACCTCAGCCCACCAGTGCACCTGGCACCATCAGACCAGTGGACACCCTGTGTCAACACAGACCAGTGCACAGTAGTGGAGCTGCCAAGGTGCCAGTTGTGGAAGCCACAAATGGCTGGGAGCCCAGCACCATCCCCCACAGTAGCAGCCCAATCAGAGTTGAGGTATACCTCCAGCAATAGAGGCTGGGGAGCAGACATCCATTTCCAGGCAACAGAAGCACAGATCAGCAGCTGAGACCCATCCCCCAAAATTACAGCAAAGGTTGAGCCGGAATTGAGCCGTATGGGGCAGCAGCACTCCCCAGTCACCAGCAGTGGGACCTGGAGCTCCACAGAGGCCTGTGTGACCCTGCGGCCCACAAAAGTGGTGGGAAGCCATGGCTCGGGGCTCAAGAGAAACCAGTGCGATCCAGCAGCCTTCAGGACTTGTGGGGTGTTGGAGCACCAGAGAGGCCTGCGTGACCCAGCTGCCCACAAGATAGGTGTGAAGCCAGGTCTCCAAAGAGACTGTGCGATCCAGCTACCCGCGGAACCTGCTAGGAGCTGGGGCACCAGAGAGGCCTGTTCGACCTAGATGACCACAAGATAGGCATGGAGCCAGGTCTTCAAAGGGACTGTGCAATCCAGCTCCCCACAGGATCAATGGGAAGTGGCAAGTTGGCAGGGAGCCTGGGCTCCAGTGAGGCCTGTGCAACACAGCTACCCATGGTACAGGAAGGGAGCATGGCTCCAAAAGGGCCTGAGCTATACAGCTACAGGTGGCACCGATGACCAGCTGGGAACACAGCTCCAAAGGGGCCCATGATCCAGCAGCAGCACCTACTAGGACATACCAATACCAGCCCCCAGTAGTCAATCCCCCAGGATCCACAGCAGGCAAGAGGCAACATGCAACAAAAGAATTTGGAAGGTACAGTAGCCTTATACAGTGATATACAGTGAGCTGCCTACACATCCAAACATCCCTCACCGGGTCTAGAGCTACCAGATGGCTAAAATGGGAAGACAAAGAAACAACACCCAAAGGAAAGAAAAAGAGGAATCACCAGAAAAAGAACTATAGGAAATGGAAGACAGCAACTTGTCAGATAAAGAAATCAAAGCAATGATTTTAAGGGTGCTCAAACAATTTAGTGAGAACAAGTAACTTAAGAATTATGAAGCATTCACTGGGAACTACTTCAGCTTAAAAAAAAAAGAGGTAGAAGTTATGCATAAAAATCAAGAGGAAACAAAGAATGACATAGCTGTTATAAAAAATACCTTAGAAGGGGCTAAGCAAATATATTAACACCAAACCAGCACTGCAAGATATGCTAAAAGGACTGCTGTAATTAGTAGAAGAAATAGGAAGAAAAATAGAATCACACTAATGGCAACAAATAAGTACATATCAATTATCACCTTAAATGTGAATGGTTTGATTGCTTTGATAAAAAGAAACAGAGTAGTTGACTGGATAAGAAAGCATGACTCACATATATGTTGTTTACAAGAGACCCACCTCACAACAAAAGACTCACATAGGTTGAAAGTGAAGGGATGGAAAAAAATCTTTCAAGCAAACAGAAAGAAAAAAAAAAAAAAGCTGGGGTAGCAAAACTCATATCTGATAAAGCAGATTTCAAAATGAAGGCTGTAACTAGAGACAAGAAGGCCGCTACATAATATTGAAAGTATCTATCCAACAGGAAGATATAACCTTGGTAAACATATATGAACCCAATTTAGGAGCACCAACATATATTAAAAATCTTCTGAAGGACTTCAAAAAAGAAATCAACAGCAATACAATCATAGCAGGGGACTTCAATACACCGCTGACATCATTGGATAGATCTTCTAGACAAAAAATTAACAAGGAAACACAGACTCTAAATGAAACACTAGATCAAAGGAATTCAATAGTTATCTACAGAGAATTATACTCCAAAACCACAGAATTCACATTCTTCTCAAGAGCACATGGGACATTCTCAGAAACAGACCACATGTTACGGCACAAACTAAGTCTCTACAAGTTCAAGAAGATTGAAATCATATCAAGCATCTTCTCAGATCACAATGGCATGCAACTAGAAATCAATTGCAACAATAACATGCAAAAACATTAGAAAACATGGAGTCTCAATAGCATGTTATTGAACAATGAATGGGTTACCATGAAGATCAAGGACAAAATTAAAAACTCCTGGAGCCCTGGCCAGTTTGGCTCAGCAGTTGGAACATCAGCCTGTGGACCAGAGAGTTCAAGGTTCAGTTCATGCTAGGGGCATGTACCCCCCCCCCAAAAAAAAATTTCCTGAAAAGCAATGAAAATGAACACAAAAAAAAACACAAAATCTATGGGATGCAGCGAAAGAAGTTCTGAGAGGGAAGTTCATAGCACTACAGGCCTACCTCAAGAAGCTAGAAAAATTTCTAATAGACTATCTAACCTCACAACTTAAAGAACTAGAAAGCAAACAGAAAAGAGAAACAGAGCAAATAGAAGGAAGGAAATTGTAAAGATCAGAGCAGAAATAAGTGACATGGAGACCAAAAAAACAATGAAAAGGATCAATAAAACAAAGAGCTGGTTCTTCGAAAAGATAAACAAGATTGATAGTCCCTTAGTTAGACTCACCAAGAAACAAAGAGAGAGAACCCAAATACACAAAATCAGAAATTAAAGAGGAGAAGTAACAACTGACACCACAGAAATACAAAAAATCGTGAACAAATATTATGAACAATGATACGGCAACAAATTCAACAATCTAAGCAAAATAGTCAAGTTTCTAGAAACACATAGTCTCCCAAAATGGAATCAGGAAGAGAGAGAACTTGAACAGACCAATAACAACAAAAGAAATTGAAGATGTATTCAAGACTCTCCCAGCAAACAAAAGCCCAAGCCCAGATGGCTTCACAGGGGAATTTTACTGAACATTCAAAGAAGAACTAATACCCATTCTTCTCAAACTATTTCAAAAAATTCAAGAAGAAGGAAGACTTCTAAATGTGTTTTATGAGGCCAGTAAAATTCTAATTCCAAAACCAGAAAAAGGCACTACAAAGAAAGAAAACTATAGACCAATATTCCTGATGAACATAGATGCCAAAATCCTGAACAAAATACTAGCAAATTGAATCCAGCAATACATCAAAAAAATTATTCACCATGACCAAGTGGGATTCATCCAAGGGATGCAAGGCTGGTACAATATTCACAAATCAATCAATGTAATATACCACATAAACAAAATGAAAGATAAAAACCACATGACCATGTCAATAGATGCTGAAAAAGCATTTGACAAAATACAGCACACATTTCTGATAAAAACACTCAGCAATCTGGGAATAGAGGGATCATATCTCGACATAACAAAGGCCATATATGAAAGACCTACAGCCAACATCATACTCAACAGGCAAAAATTAAAATCATTTCCCTTAAGAAAAGGAACAAGGATGCCCACTTTCACCACTCCTATTTAACATAGTACTGGAAGTCTTAGCCACAGCAATCAGACAGGAAGAAAAAATAAAAGGGATTCCAATTGGAAAGGAGGAAGTGAAACTGTCATTATTCACAGATGACATAAAACTATACATAGAAAACCCCAAAACTCCATAAAAAATTTACTTGACTTAATAAATGAATTTGGCAAAGTAGCAGGATACAAAATTAATGTCAAAAAATTGTTAGCATTCTTATATGCCAATAATGAACTCACAGAAATAGAAAGTAAAAAAACAATCCCATTTACCATTGCAGCAAAAAAATTAAGATACCTAGGAATAAACTTAACCAAAAAAGTAAAGGACCTATTCGTAGAAAACTTCAGGTCATTGATTCTGTTGCCTTAGGTGATGTATCAGTGAAAATTCTGCTCCGTATGATGTCTGAAATTTTGTTGACTACAGTTTCTTCTAGGATTTTTATGGATTCATGAGTGTCATTTAAGTCTTTTATCCATTTTGAATTTATTCTTGTGTATGATGTAAGTTGATGGTCTAGTTTCATGTTTTTGCATGTAGCTGTCCAATTTTCCCAACACCATTTATTAAAGAGGCTGTCTTTACTCCACTGTATGCTCTTGCCACCTTTGTCAAATATTAATTGAGCATATTGCCTTGGGTTCATTTCTATGTTCTCTGTTCTGTTTCACTGGTCTATATGCCTGTTCTTGTGCCAGTACCAGCTCTAGTACACTGCTGGTGGGAATGCAGACTGGTGCAGTCCCTATGGAAAACAATATGGTGTTACCTCAAAAAATTAAATATAAAACTGCCATTTGACCCAATGATCCCACTTCTAGGAATATACCCTAAGAAGCCTGGAATACCAATCAGAAAGAATATATGTACCCCTATGTTTGTAGCAGCTCTATTTACAATAGCTAAGATCTAGAAACAGCCCAAATATCCATCAGTAGACAAATGGATAAAAAAGCTGTGGTACATATACACAATGGAGTACTATGCAGCTGTAAGAAAGAAAGATCTCTTATCCTTTGAGATGACATGGAGGGACCTGGAAAGTATTATCCTAAACAAAATAAGCCAAACAGAGAAAGACAAGTATCATATGATCTCACTTATTTGTGGAAT